TATATATATATATATATCCTCAGAAACTATAAATTAAACCTAAATGCAAAATCTTATATCTTCACATCCAGATAAAAAGTGCTACATAAGAAATGCTTAGCTTTTAAAATTCTTTGTTAATTTTTTTAATGTGCCTAGAATTTTGCCTACAAGTGTGCCATGTGTATGCACTGCCTGCGGAGATCAGAAGAGGGCACTGGATCCTCTGGAACTAGGGTTAGAGACAGCCATTGGCCATAATGTGGGTGGTGGGAACCCAACCTGGGTCCTCTGTAATAACAGCCAGTGTTTTTAACCACTGAGGCATTTTTCTGGAGCTAAGAAAGGTTGACTTTTAACTGGAACTTCTGGTGGGAAATTTTGAAAATTACAGTGCGATGATCCGTTGAAAGCTCTGTAATAGGAAGAAACCCTCACAGTCAACCTTTAGAGTTAACATAGCAAAATGACAGTTTTGAGCAACTGTGACTCATTAGACACGTTGAGGCTGAAAATGAAGGTTCAAAGGGTCAGTTTTTTTCTCTATTGGCATATGTTTATTGGTGAAAACTAAAGTAAAGAAACAAGAGCTCTAATGTGATATGGAGCAACAGAAAAAGAGGAGTTACATCATTGTAGTTCCCTGAAAAGTCTGGAATAAATTATATTAAACTCTCTTAAATGTTAGTTATATGATTCACAAATTAAGTTTTTAATCGGGGTTTATAAACGGAAGGGCTTCTTAGAATTCAATTAAAAAAATATGGGGGGGTCTTTTTGAGACACGGTCTGCCTGTAGCCCCACCTGTCCTGGAACTCCCTATGTAGACCAGTCTGGCCTTGAACTCACAGAGATCTGTCTGCCTCTGCCTTCCACGTGCTGGGATTAAAGGCATGTGCCACCACACCTGCTAGAATTCAACTAAAATGTTTTAAAAGTGCCCATGCTATGATATGCATTTAGATTTTAAAGAAAACAAGAAAATGCACATATTTATATATCTGTGATAACTGAAATTTCATAGACTTCCAAATGCCTTATATTCTTTTGCTCTTTAAAATTCTAACAGACCTGCTCCATAAATACATTATTCATTCAAATGCTTAAAAGCACATTTTGTGAAATGGCTTTAAATAATTGCTTAGAAATATTTTTCTAGAACAACTGTAAATGTGTTTCAGTGCACTGGATGCTGTTTATATGCTCATATTTCTGTAATTAGAAAATAAAATATACTACATGGCTAAATGTCAGGCCCTCCCTGTGATAATACCAAGGACTGGTAATTCACTGTCTTGATTGTGTAAGTGTACAGGGCTCATGACTGAAGACTTTCATTTCCATCACAAAAAGAGCTATTATAGTGTCTCCTCATAAATTTAAAGATGTTCTGTAAATAATTAATAATTTTGTTGTGACCATACACAAATAATGAGCAGAACTTGATTACCAGATTTAAATAACAACATCACTAATATTATGGTGTTCTAACAAACAATCATTGAAAAGTAGAATTAATCCAATCAAAGGGACATTTTCTTGATAAAGGATAAAAAGATCTGGCATGCTGACTTTGGAAAACAAAGACCAAAGATCTCTGTTCAATCATTCCAAACTTCATTCCCTTTCAACAAGAATTAAATGTTTATAAAGAGATCACCCTGAGTTTTAAAAATTGACAGCCATATGGAGTTTTGAAAAATTGGCTGATGGGGCAAAATTTATGCAGAAATTCTCTTCACTATTATCCACCTTGGTCTTGTCTGTTTCACCTAAATTCTTGTGTGACACTTCCTCTACATGGTTTAAAGATGGATTTCCGCCAGTCACTCCTTGGACACTTGAAGTGAGCCACGCTGCCCAGGTGCTATATTTGCTGCCCCTGTGATATTTAGAGGCAAGGATTCACTTGAGCATGTCAACTTCCCTCAGTGTGTCAAGAAATCACAAAGTTGAATCCCAGATGTGGCCTGTTAATCCCACCATCACAAAATAAACTATGTAGCTCAAGTATACACAATGCCCATTGGTGCTAAGGAGAAGTGATAGGAAACCTTTCTTAAAGGTGATGATATTCTCTGAGCAATAGTACTCTTTGGATCATGTGATTCATTTTGTTTGCTCAACAACTTGGTATGTTTTTCCTGAGAGGAAGGACTTCAGTATATATTTACTTAGCGCTTTTAATTTATACTTCCCTTCCTTTTAATTGGTGTCTTGTGATCTAAAATTAGCTGGTGAACATAATATCTCACTCAAATTCTCTCATCTGATTTTGTAATAATTAGCTCCATCATCAACAGCTTTATTAGAGTGTTTTTTTAATTTGACATGTAGTCATATTAATTATTATTCCCCAAGATGGAATTCCGTTAATAATTTCATGTCAAAAGTGACGCTCAGTCAGTATTGCCTGTAACCTCACTGAAGAAGAAGCCTACACAGAAAGGAATTCTTTCATGAAACTTGAGGTTGTCAGAACTTGATAGCTCACCAATAAGCCGAATATCATTTACACAAGGAAGAAAAGGGCACGTGTCCTCTAAAAATCCCACACTTAACACAGATGTTTGCTATAGACCTTCCCCCTTCAACTCTTGTTTGTGTAGTAACTAGACACAGGTACAGTGCGAGTGAATCGATTTTCCTAGATTAATGGGAAAAAAAATGCCCACAGCCGGATTTTCATCTGCCATTCTCTCTCTCACTCTCACTCTCTCTCTGTGTACTCTCTTTAAAAGAACTGCAGGCATTGAAAACGATCCAGAAAAACAGCAAGGATTGAAAACGATCCAGATTTTTAGAATTCACCCTCACCTTGACAACGCTAAAATTACAAGCAGCAGTCAACTTTTACAAGATACCCTCATTGTGTAACATTTATAGGTTGCCAAAAACATGCTACAACTAATCAGATAACAAAGGTGAAGAGAAAACCTTCACCTGCCATGTAGCTAGCAGTGAATACACTTCTTATTTCCATGACATTTGCTGGCAGAAAAGGGTTGGCTTAAGGCGGATCGGACTAACCTTCAATTTGTCATAGCGCTCACTCAAAGCTGCCACCTGATGATCGCGGTGCCGCCCAACCAGTTTACACAAGGCACAGATTAACTGGTCATCGGTCACACAGTACATATTCACCTTCTCATCCTCATGCTCCAGGCACATCAGCCCCCGGATGTGCGAGTCCGGGATTGGCTCAATCAGACGATGGCCTGTAAAGGGTTTCTTGTTCGGGTGAGTGGCTTTCAGGCACTCCTCACAGTAGGAAACTTCACAAGTGACACAGGTCTTCACAGCGTCCTGGGCAGGATCCTGGTCACAGAACTGGCAGAGAACCTTCTCGGCGGAGGACATGGTGTTGGCGTCAAAGGCCCGCTCCCTGCGGGTCTCGCTGGGGGAATTGGGCCCACTCACAGATGCTTTCTGGAACCTGTCAATGATGTTCTGCAGGGTGACGTTGCGCTTGAGCCCGTCTAGACCTCGCTGGCTGAGCGTGATGACATGCCGGCAGGTGGGGCACTGGAAGGCGCTGATGGACTCCACAGGCTCGTTGGTGGCACAGTGCGACACCAGGATACGATGGGCACAGTTGAAGCAGAGGCTGTGTGCGCAGGGCAGGAGGAGAGGGTCCTCAAAGAGCTCCAGACAAATAGGGCAGGTCAGCTCCGACTCCAGTGTTTCCATCTTCAGGCAAAGCTCTCTGGCGTCATCAGCAAAATCCAAGGAAGCTGATCAGCTATCTGGAAACAGAACGGGAGATTTGATTAGGCATGAGGGGGTCACCCATGGGAGGCTGTCCGCTTGGAATGCATCTCAGAATAATTCAAAACACAGGTCATGGAAGGGCAAATGTGAGGAAGTTCCAAAAGTCTCTCTTCACTGGGGGTAAAGGAGCAAAAACCTGAACCACCATTTTCTCAAAGTTCTGGTTGTTGAAAATGGCAATTTTTCTTTTTAATTCTGTTTTTCAATTTTGGCTTTTAAAAGGCCTCACTCCAAAATGGCAAGTAACTGAAACTGCAATTTCTATAATTTGTATTTGATCAGAATAATCATGTGTCACAGTGAGTTTTACCTTTGGTTAAAAATTAAAATGCAGAAACACCCACTAATGAACTATAATTATTCATAACTTTGAATTTGAGAACTTGCATATTAATTCATCTGTGCTTTAAGGATTTTAGTGTGCAATACCAAGTGAGGGTTTTGAATAGTAGAGAGGCAGTCACTATAGACACGGGCATTAAATGTACAGGAGCTCAAATGTAACAATTTCAGGCAAAATAATGTTTAAATGCAGGACATCATTTCTCAAATATCTTCTTAAGGGAAAAAATTGAGTCTCACAAAGATGATTGTGATAGAGACAGTATTTCTGACATGTGTTCTTTACTCTTTTGAATAATTTTATTGTTTAATCCAGCAGTGGCATGTGGGTAGGCAGACAGAAATGAAGAAAAACATCTAGGGGCCTTTTTAACTACTAAAGTGAGCTTGGATAGTGGTGACTAATATTTAGAACAAGCATTTAGTGAACTGGAACAAGGATTTGGGTGGTTATCACATGCATTTGATAAGTGCTAACAACTTTAGTTTAGAAGGCACTTTGATGAAACTACATAAGGGCTGCTGAGGGACACAGCGCAATCCTCTTGGTTAAAATCTTCTGTCATGAGCTTGTCACTGTTGCCAGCCACAGGCCCAGCTGGAACAAGGTCTTGCCTCACACTCACAGGCCTGCTGGCCTGGGCACGACCTCCGTCAGTTTTGTTGCTCCCCTCCAGGCCACCTTCGGGTGGCCCAGCTGCACACTCCCTTTGCCATTAAGACCTCACTGCTTTTGTGAACTCCCACTTGGTCTGCCTTCCATTCAAAAAGGGAGAGCAAAGAATCCCACACAAGCCCCAGTTCATTAGGGTGAAGCGGCCTCATGCTCATTAGCAGCGCTGGGAACCAAGCCTCTTTGAATCTTCTCTCTTTTAAGGCCATTAGCAGAGGGCTGTGGAACGTTGCCTAGCAGTATTAGGTGTAGCCGGCTGCAGGCTTTGGGAGAATAGTACAGTTCACCCAGTGGTCAAGAGGTTCAAATCATAGGTTTGGGGCTTCTCAGCTGGGTTTATGGGAAGACTGTGCTTCCAAAGCTACGTGATTCTGACAATTGGTCATTTGTATTCACACCTCCACCTATTTAAAAAACACAAGCTTTCTACAATAACCTGACCCTTTCTGAAATAACATCCCTCTGAAATATTATGCAGTGGTTTGGCGAAACATTACCTCAGTGCCAGCCAAGTGGTAGATGATCAGTAAGAGTATAAATTATATCCTGAACTTCATAAAGATTAGAAGCGCTAACTAGATTTCACAGAAGCCTGATTGCTTAAGAAAAGCCTGAACCAATCATTCATATTTACTATCTAATAAAGGATTGGCTGTCGTTTGAAATATTGCCATCTACGCTTCTTCCCACAACCTTCAGTGGAAAACCAAGGACTGCTCTTGGAAGAAACTTTGTCATCCCTACTTAGGCCCAGTCATTGGATGAAGAATTATCTCGAATCAAATTTCCTCTCCTTTTCTGATCAAAGCACAGAAAATAAAGGGGGGGGGGAGTATGTCTTTTGCTATTTGTTATCAAGAGGAAGAGGAGAGGGTGATTATGTGTTGAGAGCTATAGTGATCGGTATTAATGTTCATTCATTCATCCATTTCAATAATTTTGTTTGTTCGAGATAGGGTTTTGTTATGCATTACAAGCAGGCCAAAAATTTGTGATACTCTTCATTTTCCTGAGTGTTGGGATCACAAAAGCACACCACTATGCACAGCAAGTTTTCATTTAATTTTTTTTTTATTTGTGCACTCAGTATTTGCACATATTTATGGGGTGTTATAAAGCAAAACATGGAAAAACAGTGTGGAGGTTCTTTATCACACTGACAATTGATCCAGAGAGATGGATCAATGGTTAAAGACTTGCTGTGCAATTGTGACACTGGAGCTCACATCCTCAGAACCCACAATAATTACAGGTTGCTGTTGAAGGCAACTGTAATCCCAGTGCATGGTGGGCAGAGACAGAAATTCTCGGAGGAGCCTGGTTAGCCAGAAGAGCCCTATTGAGCTTTGGGTTCAACTAAGAAATGCTGCGTTGATGAACAAGGTAGAAAGCCATCAAACAAATTTTCCAATGCAAATCTCAGGCCTCCACATGCAATCACACACATGCGTGCCCACATACATGTGATCATGCATACATACTTGCATGCTCCTAACATATACATAAAATTAAGTCGTTAGGTTTATTAAAACAGAAAATAGCATGGCCATGTGATCCAGAAATCCTCTGACTCAGTTGAGATCCACAGTCAAATAAAATAAGAATATTGAGGAGACATCCACACAGCCGTGTTCACTGCAGCATTATTCATGATAGCCATGTTCTGGGAACAACCCAAATGTCCATCACTGGAATTTCCAAAGGTGGTTTCGTTGTGGACCCTCAATGGAAATACTGATGTTTTATGCACTCATTCTAGAGATGGTTACCGTATGTTAGGTAGTAACCTGGCTCAAGAAAGCAGAACCTGGTGCTCTCATCACCCTGTCTATATTATCATGGACCAAGCCAGCATCATCTCATATTGGGGTTATCAAAAGACATTTGAAATGGTTTCCTGGTTTCTGCTCTGTCTTGCCCTTCTCTTATAGTTTATCCTCCACTCAGAAGGCAAATAGCCTGTTAAAACATGACAGATCCTGCCTCTCCTCTGCTCTGCCCTCCAGGGACTTCCCATGTCAGTCAAGGGGAAATTCACCAGAATAAAAGCAGCCCTAGAAAACAGACTCAGACAGTGAGCTCATTTCCTCCCACACTATGCCTTTCTTGTTCTACTCTGGGCACATGGCTTCCTTGTCAATCCTCAGGTGTGCCAAACACGTACCATCTCCTATTCACCCGCATACAGTGTCTAGAATCCATATAACTCTGGACTCCACAGTCACCTTATGTGAACTCACTTAAGATTAATTCCCCCATTACCACCATAACCCATTGTATCTACCCATTGTAGTGATGCTTCTTTCCTTTATGTCAGTATGTTGCTCTCTATATACCTGTTGTTGATATATTCTTTTACTTTGTTCACTGATGTTGTCCTCTATTGTCAGGCGCACCAGACGAATGTGCCACTAGTAACTAGAATAGTGCCCAGCACACAGTAGTACTCAAACATCCATTAATTCCATCCATTTGTACTGATGTTTAGATTGAGATTGAAAGACAAAAGTGTAACTCTTTCTTTGAAGGATGTCAGTCAATGGAACAGAGGTTAACAAGCTTTCTGTGTGAAGGGCAGGATAATAAACATTTTTGGTTTTGTGGACCACAGGACCTATGCTGCAGAAGAGATCATAAAGAATACATAAGTGAATGACTATAGCCATGCTTCAAAACAGTTGTATTTGCGTAAAAAATAAAGGTAATGTTTTTCACATCTACTAATTATTAAGGAGTAAATTTTTATGCTTTGAAGAATTAATTTTTTAATCTTTTTAAAAAATTTTAATAACTACATGATTAGAAGCGTTTCACTACAGCTTTAACATATTCAGTAACACACTCCAGAGCAACAGTACATCTCACAAGTGGGTGCAAGATTCTAGGTTCACAGCTGAATTAATATAGTTATATATTACTCAACTCAATATATGCCCTATAAGACATGAAATTGGATGAGTTCTTAACCTTTAAAAAAGATCTCCATTTCATTTTATAATATATTGTTCCTTGCAGAAAGACTCATTGTTTTTGTCACTAA